TTTCTGCTTCTGGATTTGGTAAGCTATTTTGCTTTCAGAGGAACCTTAATGCTGAATTTATGTATACTATTTATGAGCAGAGTCTTCTAGCTTTCACCTTTAAACTTTTTGGTAAAGATAACATAGATTGGATCTTGCAAGAAAATAATGATCCAAAGTATCGATCAAAAATCACGAAAAAGTGAAAGGAAGAAAATAGCATTGAGGTACTTTTTTAGCCATCAATGTCTCCAGACTAAAACCCTATAAAAAACATTTGAAGGTTAATGAAAATTAATATACAAAAAAAAAATTCGATCAATTAGAGGGTTAAAGGGGAACTTACAAAAGAATAAAACTGATTATCACCTGTACTTACCGCGAATTTAGTAGCTAGCATGAAAAGATATACAGCTGTACTTATAGAGTCAGATGGTGATTATATAATATATTAATTTTAGTTAGTTGGTTATGTATTTTTTAAATAAAAAAAAATTTTGAATTTACTTATTTGTAGCCAGAGTTAGAAGCGATCAGATACTTATGACTGCTACTATATATATATACAGTTCGCTTTTTTTACAGTATAGTATGCTATAATTATGATTCAAATAAAAATAAGTTTAGAATATATATGCTTCAAATATCATATTTGTTTGAAACTAGTTCTTTATTAGTTTGATATTGATTCAATTCTAAACTCCCTTTTTTCATATTTAAAGAAAAAAATCATAAAAAACTTTGCCTTCATATGGTAAATATATATATGCTAAATGAAATAAATAATGAGGCACCCTTGATATCTGATAATAAACTTGGAGATTTGCCATTTAATTGTTACCTATCTAGCCAAATTGAGGTTAAAAACTAATGTTTAAAACATGATCTAGATATTATTATAAGCTCAGATATTCAGCTTGGCACTAGAAACAGTCTTTTAATAAAAAATAATGAGAGTTTTTCAGAACGTGTATGCCAGCTTGAAGATGAGGCAAGAGAACTCAAAAATGAGATTAATCAAAAAGAGATTTCTCTTGCAAGTGCTAAAAGTGAGATTGCTACAAAATTGGAAGAGATACAAGCTCTCTATTCAAGAGTAGAGGAATTAGAGCAGGATGTTTCTTTAGCAAAGAAAAGAATATTAGAGATGGATTCTCTTAAGCGTAAATCTGAACTGAAATACATAAAACTGTCTGACGAAAATATTAGTTTAGATTTGGCAAAAATGGAATTAGAAGATATACTAGCCAAAAAAAAAGGATGAATTAATGCGGGTAAAAGATGATTTACTTTCAGCATAAAAGGTAATAATAGAGAAAGATTCCCTCCTTCAAGAAACTAATACTTTTTTATTAGAGCAGATTTTGAAAACATCCAGTAAATTTAAGCAAAATGAAGTGATTGGAGGTGATAAAGGACTGGAGAAAGATAACGAAATCACTAGCCTTAAAATAATCTCAGAATCACCTTATTTCTTATTTTTTCAGTATGTATTTATTTTCGTAATAGTATTACTAATTATATACATCTTATGATGCATATTCTCTCGTCTATATTCATTTTATAATGAAGAAAAAAATATTTTAAACTATAAAATACTTTAAATAGAAATCAAGGTTATGGATTTCTGATCTGATACGGAGAAGAACTAAAAGACAGAACTACCTCCTATAAAACTTTACCTTATAGATATGGATAAGGCTACTAAGTATGAATTATCTCGAAATGTTGAACATCCAGCAATGATATAGTCATTCAGCAAGGTAATCATAGGGAAAAGTGGTATAGGTAAAGGTAATTCATTAGCAAATCTTATTACTGGAGATAAAGGTGAATAATATATAAAAAACAAAAGGGTGGATCCAAATATATTAAATGTGATGATTTAATAGTTTGTAATTATCATTCTGATAAGCCCAAATGGGCATTTGTTAGATACATCTATAAAATGATTGCAAGTAATCTAAAGCATTTTATTATGAAAATATTAGATTCAGATACATATCACCAGAAAAATTCCTAGTGTAAAATCCTTTTCACCTGAAAGAAGTACTGTAATTATTTTTGAGGATTTATGTAATGCTTCAGAGTCAATATAAAATTGAATTATTCTATTCTTTATACATGGGCGACATCAAAATATAAGTCCAATCTATATAATACAATAATATCATTATGTTCTGATAATTATTCGTGAAAATATCTCCCATCTAATGATATTTAACAGAGGTAGTAGTTATCAAGATATGTTCAAGATAACTGATCATTATACTGATGATGTTAAGAATGCATCAATAGTTATTAACAGTTACTTACACAAAGGTGAGTTTATTGTATTTGATCTCACTAGGCCAGAAGATGATCCTCTTGCAATTTGCCTAAGGTTTGACACTCTACTAAACTTGCAAAAGGAAATAAAAGCTAAGTAAAAACGTAAGGAAAAAAGTGCCCTAGCTAATGAATAGAATCTGACTTTATAGATGCTAGCTTTTTTTTGTAATTATAAAAATTAGAATGAGAGAATTGGTTATTTATATCAATCCTTAGAAAGCTTGAGACTTAGATCAGGATCTTGTTTTACAGAAATTTTATTACAGACCTGAGGGATATTATCAGACTGCTGAAAAAATGCAAATGGCTTGTAATAATGCTAAATATAAGTTTTCTTTTATAGAAATCAAAAATTAGCTAAACAAGCAGGTTTTGTATCAGATTCACAAGTTTCAATCAAATTTATTCAGTATGCCTTCTTTAATAATATTCAATTTTTAAATAAAGTATACCAATATACTACCTCCATGTCTTATAATAAAGTAGCAATCGAATTTACAAGTATAGGGGTGTTATTAAAGATATTGTAATTAGGTACTGATGTAATTTACATTAACTAATAAATCTTCTACACAAATGACTAAAGCAATTTAGAACATTTACAATAATCCTAATGATCCTCTTAACCTGCCTAAAGATTTTATTGTAGATAGAGGTACTGAATATATGAGTGAATATAAAGATTTATTACTCAGTTATAATATTAGAATTCAGTATGCTAACTCTAAATATGATGTGGCTATTGCTGAATGTGATCATCAAGAATTTGAAAAACATGTTTATTTTCGATAAGATGTTGAAGATTTTCATTTGCCTTTGACTGATAGATTCAAACATAGGTTAAGAGACTTCGTATAAATGATGATATTTTCAATAATACTTCTACTTTATTAATAGCTATGTCTTCTAATAAAGCTATAAAAAAGGTATTAAAAGGTAAAAAAATAATAGCTAGACCTTCTGTCGAACATAGGAAACCAGTTGGTTATAATGAATCACTTTTATCTAGCTATACTGAAGTTCAGTATCTTGATAAAAGAAAACCAACCTATTCTCTATAAGCTTTACAATGGTCCTAGATGCTTATTTGTAAGAGAAGAACTTCAAATTGTAAAGAATGTGTAATTACCCTTTCAATGGATACTTAAGCATTAGACTTATCTCTTTTTTCCTCCACTTGGTATAGGATTTGTTCGAAAGCATTACTTAAGTAATCATCTATTTCATCTCTATTATAAACTATAATTTACTTATTTCTAAACCAGTCAGTTTGTGAATTCTTTTTTACCTGTTTTTCTTTTCCAGGTTTATCATCTATAAGAAATTTAGTAAAAGAACATAGAGCAAACTTAAATTGTTCATGCTTATTGAATTCCTTTTCAAGTATTTCTCTAAACTATTTTCTTCAGCTTCTTAACATTTTTTATATATTACTTCCATTATCTAGATACGATATAGAAACTTTTACATGATGTACAGCTATAGCTTTTCTTTTAACTGCTGTTTCCAATTCTTCTTGCTTCTTAAATTCTAAATCCTTTTCTGATCCTTCTTCAGTAATTTTTTCCAAGTGCTCAAATTCTTCATTATTTGTTTTTTCTTTACTAATTTGAATACTTGGTTCATTTTTCAATAAGTAATGGTAAATGCCTTAAAAATCATCTAAGTTATTTATGGTAAAATTGATTCCTACAAGATTCTTGAAACTTTTTTGTAATCTTGCTCTCTATGTCATAAAATGCTCGCCAGGCTTTTGAGCAATTAAATCAATACATTTTTGGGTAGATTTTATAATCAGAATAATAAGAATATCAGAAGTTTGAATAGAAGTATCACTTTCTGTAAATATTTCTTTATAAATTTCAGCTACGACTTCTTTTTTAAGCTTTTGATTAACCAATTGAATAAGTTTTTGCTTAACCTGTTAGTTTTCTTTTTGAATGGATATTTGATTTAGTATTTGAGTAAAAGAAGCAGAAGTCAAGATTGATGAGATCCTTTTAAGATCATTTATCCCATCAGCTATTTTTTTCTGATCTTGTAATGGTTTGCAAGAATTCTTTCGCTTAAAATGCTTATGAAGTTTTTAAAGAGTTAAGCATTCTCGTCTATAATATTTACAGGTTATATCTTTCTTATCACTTTTTGTTTTTCTATTTATAGTGTTAGCTCTAACCGTCGCATTATTACTTGCTTATATAATTTTTTCTTTAATTATTTATTTCTTATGTATTTATCACTTTTCGATCATAAAACCCTACTAAAGATAAGTATTTACAAGCTTTCTAAAGAGGTTTTAGCTATTGCAAAACTGAAACATTAACTAATTATTAATTAATCTTTTCGAATTTAATAATAAAAAAGTAGGATGATTGGCGAATATTCTTGCCTATTTCTCCGCAATACAGAAAGGCTTGTGAGAATGCTAGTACTAGACCTGAAGGATGCCAATTCTATTAAAAGGCTAAAAAACATATACCTTGTTCTGATTGTGAAAAGCTACAGCCTCTGCTTGTAGACGATGTTCACTACATGTTAGAGGTTATTATGTTACTTGATATTATGATAAACTTTGATGAGAAAGAACTTATGTTGGCCAATCCTATGCTAGCTAATTCTATGATAGATTTTGATCAGAAATACGAGAAAAAAGTTATGAGAAAATAATGATTACCTATAGAAATACGCTTACAAATCTTAATATTTCTCTTTGCAAAGACTGATAAAAATGGGAGAAAGAGATTATTGCATTAGTTGCTAACCAAAAAAAATGAAAAGATTATTTTAGCTAACTTAAATTTTAGATGTAATATTTAATGAGCATTTGTTAAATTTTCGTTAGACTTGCTTTTTTATATTTTTCGTTAATTTTATGCTATTTGATGAGCTAGTCTATGCTGAATCCATTTTTGACTAAGAAAAAGTTAGGATAATTCTACGGATTTTGCAGAAGGTGATATTTCGTTAGACTTTTATATAAAATATGCTTTTTAGTAAGCTAGCCTATATTGAATCCATTCTTGATTAGGGAAAAGTTAGGACAAAATCTCATTAGACTTATTTAATAATTATGCTATTTAATGAGCTAGCTTGTATAGAAGGCATTCTTATATATAGAAAAGTTCATTAGATTTAAAAGTCACATGATTTTTCATTAGACTTATTTATAGATTTTTGTTAGATTTAATAAATATAACTGAAAAGTTGATATGGCTGTTAGAAGCTTTTTTAATATATTAATAAAAATCGATATACTTTCTAAGGTTGGAGAATTCACACAGAATTAAGAAATATAATATCAAAATTAAGATTTTAAAGCTGATAAAAGCTCTTCTAATATAATACAGTAGCGGTTATAAGTATCTGACTGCCTCTAACTCTGGCTACAAGTAAGTAAATTTAAAATTTTTTTTTTTATTTAAAAATATATAACCAACTAACTAAAATTAATAAATTGTATAGTCATCATCTGACTCTATAAGTGCAGCTGTACGCCTTTTCATGCTAGCTACCAAATTCGCGGTAAGTACAGGTGATAATCAGTTCCATTCTTTTATAAGTTCCCCCTTTAACTCTCTAATTGATTGAATTTTTTTTTTTGTATATTAATTTTCATTAACCTTCAAACGTTTTTTATAGGGTTTTAGTCTGGAGACATTAATGGTCAAGAAAGTACCTCAATGCCATTTTCTTCCTTCCATTTTTTCGTGATTTTTGATTGATACTTTGGATCATTATCTTCTTGCAAGATCCAATCTATGTTACCTTTACCAAAAAGTTTAGAGGTAGAAACCAGAAAACCCTTCTCATAAATAGTACATATAAATTCAACATTAAGGTTCCTCTGAAAACAAAATAGCTTATCAAATCCAGAAGCAGAAAAACATCCTCAAACATGAACTTTTGGTAGATGCTTAACAGAATGAAACATTTTTTTCTACCAGGAAACTGCCAAACCTTTTTTTTGATGTATATAATTGAAATGTATTCTCATCTGTAAAAACAACTTGATTCTAATAAAAATTCTTATGTTTTTTTACCTATTGCAACCTTTTCTTTTGATGGTTTTCTTTAAGCAAAGGTTTAGAAATTTTATTACTAAACTTTCCTTCAGACTTACGAAGATATCGCCTTACTGTTTCTACACTAAGTTTAATACCTCTTTTTTCCATTTTTTCTTGTATTTAAATGGTTGTTATATTATGTTCTTTCTCTGCTATCTTTACAATCTTGTTATTTTATTTTGCGAATATTACACAAGGCTACTCTGGTCTTTCTAAAGTACTTAGGTCCTGATTTTCATGATATTTTTTAACCTAATAAATAGCTGTAGACTTACTACAATGTACCTGTTTAGCAATAAATCTAAAACTAAACTTTGGACTAGCTGGATGCTCACATAAAAAGACAATTTCATATCGTTTCTCTAAAGAAAGTTCCATTTTCAAGCGAAAGTTTGATGATCATCTAAATTTTTTTTATATTATTGACACTTATAAATTTACAGATGATCATGTATTATATTATATTATATTTCTGGAAATTTAAAGGGTAATTATAGATAATCTCGAATGGTCAGATACTTATGACCACTACTATAACTGTTATTCACTACCAAGGAACTCTATTCTACTATCACTAATCTGACCTCAAGCTCCGTATTTTTTTGCTCTAATTTTTCAACTCTAGTATCACGCCTATCATTTTTCTTAATAATCTACTTCAGCTTCGTATTCTCAGTTTTAATATCTGCAAATTTCTTCTTGAGTTCAGAAATCTTAACTAAAAGTCTAGCATTTACCTTTTTTAATGAATCTATAGATTATGCGTTTGACATGATTGATAACATTTATTTAGTACACTAAATATTCAAATTAAATAATAAAAGGTTACATATCCATTTCAATTTAAAATACAAATCACTTTTACTAAGAAAAAAATTTATTATTATATGCAAAAAATAAATACAAAGATCTGAACTAAGCCTATGATACATATTATTTTTTGATAATTTTTTTGATTCTAGCTCTCTTGCTAATTAGAAAACTATCTATATTAACACAATCTTTTAAAAACTTCATAATAATATCAATCATCCTTTTTACATTGTTACAAAGTAATTTAGAATTTTCTTTGACGGCTGATTTCGTGAGATTAATCTGATATTTTACTATTACTTATATTAGTGTTAGGTTTTGGATACATTTTTTAATTTTAAATATTTTGAACAAGGTTTTAGACATAGAAAAATGTGTTCATATCCTATCTATAACCTGTTCAAAATTGTCCAAAATTGTTCAAAATTATTCAAAATTGTCCAATTTCCCAACACTGATTTATATAGTAAATACATCTAAAGTATATATTATAAAATGTCTCTCCATATCTATAGTCACAATACCATAGATATAATTAAAATAGTCATTTCTAAATACTTGATCTGTGGTCTATTTCTTTTTATTCATCTGAAATACTTTATATCTTGTTATTAGGAAGGAAAAAGTTAAGAAGAAACAAGACGTAATTAGTATTATCATCTGATTCTGAATTTTATAAAAGCATATGTAAATGGAATTTTCATACCTTTTCACATGAAGAGAATCTCAAAGGGATCAGATCTACTGAAAAGACATATAATTAATTTCAATCTTAGTGATCTTAAAATTCCAAAGTCCTTAGCATTTCATAATATATGTTTTGTCAGTACTATTTGCTTATATGATAGGCCCTATATTGCAACTAGTCACTCTTTTACATTTTCTCACATATGTTTGGAAAAAAAATAATGAACAAAAGTTAATATATTTTCTTTTTTGAATATATGTAAAAATTAATATATCGCATAAGATCTCAATTGATGATTCACATTTTCTGTCACACAATCTAGTTAAAGGCGTTATGTATGGTTTAGCAAAAAATCTTCTGAGCTGATAATTATTACTTCAGTTGATGATCAGTATTTCAGACATAAATTTAAATATATGCTAGCTAGAAATAAACACAATCATGACAAATAATACTAATAATAAATTTGTTCAAAATGAAATACTTAAAAATCAACTATATGAAGTACTTTTGTACAAGAAGATAGATGTATTAGCTATTCAGGAGTACATAACTGAAAGAAATCTTAGTATTAATAATAATG